GAGTCTGCTTTTTGCTTTCACAATTTGTAAATATTCCACTTTCCCTATTTAGAGCCTTTTGCGGTTTTCCATAGATAACCCTTGAAGCAGGAGATAATGTGAGTTATTTCCCAGATCTATTTGGAGGAGTGAAGATTGTTGACAATAAATTGTCCTTATTACCACTGACTGCTTTGACAGAGTTTTGTTACTTTTAAACTTATCCTAGCTGGTCTAAGTTTTCAGATGAACACACAGCATCTACTTTAAATTTTTGGTTTGCTTTCAGAAAAATTACTGATACAAGTTTAATAAACCAGATTTTATTCAAATGCTATAAAAATGAGGACATTCTTGGGGCGCCTAGGTGGCTAGTCAGTTGGGCATCTGCCTTTAGCTCAAGTCATGATCCCTGGGATTGAGCCCCATGTTGAGCCCCTTGTCGGGCTCCCTGCTCAGTGGGGAGTCTGCTTCTCCATCTCCCTCTGCTCGTCCTCCCCGCTTATGCGCCCCCTTCTCTCTCAAATAAATTAAAAAAACAAAACAAAATAGTCTTTAAAAATGAAAACATTCTTAACATGAAATCTTCTAAAATATTCTTTCTCTTTCAGATGGGCCATCTTACCCTAGAAGACTATCAGATCTGGAGTGTGAAAAATGTTCTTGCCAATGAATTTTTGAATCTGCTTTTCCAGGTATGTTTAAGGTAAATGACAGGTACAGAGAATAGTAGTTCTACACCTGTTTCATTGTGTAGTGGTTATTACAACTCAGCTACAAAGCCACATATTATAAAAAGGACTACATTATCCTGTATACACCTGAAAGATGGTAAGATAGAGTATGAGAGCCCTGAGGCATCTCAAAATCATGACATGAGAGATGAGGAAGTAGAATAGAGGTGATTATGTTTTATTTATCTTATAACTCATGGTAGACCAGCATGTTAAATAGAGAATAATTTTAGATTGCAAAAGCCATCATAATTTCCTATTTTTCTTCACTGTTGTCTTTTTTAAAGGCCCTTCCTAACAAGTCAGGCAGTGTGAACAGAAAGATGGATCATAAGTAGGCAGCTGTAAAATTTTCAATGTACACAGTCTCTCCAGTTAGATTATCTTGGCTGCAAGCCTGTTTCTAAATGTTTTAAAAAATTCTTTAGAAGAACCAAGAAAGATTGAAGAAGGAGGAGAGAAAAAGTGCAAGGTGCCAGGAATGAACATTAAGTCATAAGGCTTGCCAGATTTCAACTATTTTCCTCGTTAGAGTAGTTCTCTTGCTCCAGTTTAAAAAAGTAATTTATGGGGCGC